GCCGTTGTGCGTGTAGAGCCAGGCTACTAACGTAGCCAGCCAAGCTCCTCCCAGGAGCGCAGAATCTCCTGGTATCTTCGCAGGCTTCACGGAGCGACCTCACCGTTCCGAGGATTTGATTGCGTCTCAAGAAAGTTTCTTGATGGTCGACAACGCGCAGGTGACAACCCTAGTGTTTCATGCGTCCATACGGTAACCGTTTACCATCAGATGGGTCGTATGCTTGTTTGCAACCACCGTTGTATAAAAAAAAGCGAATCGTGGAAATTTCACTTGGAATTTCAGTTACGTAGTAAGGTCCGAGTACTCCGAGTGCATATGACAGTACACTGCGTTATGAAGTATGTATGTATGTATGTATGTATGTATGTATGACGTAGGGCTGCCTCGTTAATCAATAGTGCATTTGATGTACTACACATGCGTGGTGGCACGTGTATGTTACAATCTGTTTCATAACACAACAGGAAACTTATATTTGACGACCTCGGTGGTCTAGCGGTCTAGCACACCGCTTTACGACAGATGGTCGCGGGTTCGATTCCTCGCACGGTACAAACATTTATATTCGTGAGTATGATTGTTTGTATCGGTCTGGGTGTTTTCTATATATAATATGTAATTACAAAAAAAAACTACCCAGACCAGGTACTAGATAACTGTATCTAGTACCCATACACAAGCTTTAGCTAGCTTAACTTGGGTCTAGATGGCACTGTGTGAATTGTCCTTAGATTTTTTTTTGTTATTGATAATGGAATGGTGCATCCGTCTGCGCTAACGGTTTGCGCTGGCGGGGCACCAGTGGAGGATGATAAGAGCATGAGGTCAGGTCAGTTAGCCCATCATGACAAATTCAGCAAGATTTTATCACGATGGTTTCCAGGGGGAACCACGTGGAGGTCGACCTAACATGGTACATTGCTAGCAATGGGAGTTACTAATTCCCATTACTAACAATCCCCACCCCCCCGGAAACCTATATTGCTGTTATAGGACTATTTATAGACCAATTAAAGGTTCTTGAAAACAGCTACTGAAATTATTATAAATATATGACAGCCTCGGTGGTATAGCGGTTTAGGACACCGCCTAACTTCCGATGGTCGTGGGTTTGATTCCTTGTACGGGATAAATATTTGTATTCATTAATTTTGAACTTTGTTTTTTCAAATTAACGGCATTTCACTAAATATATATACTAACTAGCTGGACACAGCTATTTAGTATATACATTTGGTCACTAATGTGTATAATTAAATGACAAATATTGTACAAAAGTAATTACAGTAACATACTAATGAGTTTCCTCAAACACATTACCTACATTTGTACATCATTTAAATCTATACATATAAATAAAATTGGAGTGTCTGTTTGTAATATTGAAATAACCGTTTTTTACTGCATGCATATGAATATAAATACATACACCATAAAAAACACTTGTTACGATTTTTGTCTGTCTGTCTGTCTGTCTGTCGGTCTGTTTGTTCCGGCTAATCTCTGAATCGGCTGGACCGATTTTGATTACTGCATGCATATGAATATAAATACATACACAAAAAAAACACTTGTTACAATTTTTATCTGTCTGTTTGTTCCGGCTGATCTCTGAAATGGCTGGACCGATTTTAACGGGACTTTTTTGGCAGGTAGCTGATGTAATAAGGAGTAACAGTAAAACAGGCTACTTTTATTTTAGAAAAATAAAGTTATATTCCACGCGGACGAAGTCGCGGGAACACCAAGTATTAAATAATATTGTATAACAAGGAAAAACAAATAATTGGGTATTTCATATTTAAATAATTGTCAATAATCGTAATTAAATTAATTGGTTATACAATAATTATTTAAATTAATTTCTTGATGTTACTGTATATATCTTATTAATATCATTAGCTGTTACCGCGACTTCGTCCGCGTGGAATTTAACTTTTCATTTTCTAAAATTAAAGATTTTTTCTAAAATAAAAGTAGCCTAAGTTACTCCTTATTACATCTAGCTACCTGCCAAAAAAGTCTCGTCAAAATCGGTCCAGACATTTCAGAGATTAGCCGGAACAAACAGACAAACAAAAATTATTTTAGAAATATGAAAGCGTAGCGGTTTTTGTATTGATTGCCGCATGCATTCTTATGTAAAATGTGAATACTATAATTATCAGATGGCAATTGTAAGTAGCTTTGACGTGGTCTAGTGTTTTGAGTAGTCATGCTCACTAAAATGTCCAGACTTGTGGCGGCGTGGTGGGCCGGGTCATTGGGCTCCCAAAAATATGGTCGAGCGCAGTGATGGCTGGCTCATCCGTCATACTCGTTAACGTGTGCTGCTTGTGTGGACTGGTATGATCTAATCACTATGACTTATTTTCTCTTATTAATTGTTTCAGTTGTTGTATATTCAATGTTTTTTTCTATTTTATTACTTCATTGAATTAGTGCTAATCGGTGGTTTGTATTCACACACTTAAACTTAAATTGTAAGCAAGAATAAATTATTTAAAAGAGCAACACACAAGTTTCTTGCTTGTTCTTCTTGTGATAAGACAGCATTCCGAATGAGCGGTAGATTAAAAAAAAAATGTTATGACTATTCAAAAGTGCTTCAATGTAAGTTTATTTGAATAAATGATTTTCTATTCTTTCTATTCTGTTCTTTCTTATAAAAGACTTAAACTGGGCCAAATATAATGATAAATGTCAAGTCTCGGTGTTATGCAGACTAAGTTGCACGGGTCTTGTAGCTTGTACTCGTAATATTATAAACGCGAAAGTTTGTGATTATGGATGTTTGTTAAGGGTGTGGTGTATCGTCGCTACCATGGCAGATTGCCGTCATCAGTGCCGTGACCACACAGACAATTTATTTATTAATAAAGGAAAACCAAGGCAATTTAAGTATATCTATACATATAAATAAAATTGGAGTGTCTGTTTGTAATATTGAAATAATCGTTTTTTACTACTGGCATATGAATATAAATACGGTACATATAGCAAAATAATATTTTTATAATTTTTGTCTGTCTGTCTGTCTGTCTATTTGTTCCGGCTAATCTCTGAAATGGCTCGACCGATTTTGATGTGACCTTTTTGGAAGGTAGCTGATGTAGTAAGGAATAACTTAGGCTACTATTATTTTAGAAAAATAAAGTTAAAAACCACGCGGACGAGGTCGCGGGAACAGCTAGTGTTAAATAAAATCAATCTAAACGTCATACTAAGCCACTGATAAGCTCCCGCTAATAACAACAGACTAATTCTAAAAATTTACGTCACTACATATAAAGGCACACATTATAAAGTTAACAGAGAATATGAAATTAATTAACAAGAGTACAGTAACAAATAGTGAATATATACAAATATATACATATATTTATATTATATTAAATTCAACATATCAAAGGAAATGCTGGAATTAACCATAAATAAATTCAAAACAACTGTTAAATCATATTTATTGAGCTAAGTCTATTACTCACTAAAGTATTACTTGAATGACGAGCGTGCATGGCAATAGTTGATCATGCACGGGATTTTAATAATTTTAGACATAGACACCTATACAAGTTACATTGTCAATAAACTAGATTTAAAAAAAATATTTATTCAATTGAGTTTCTTGCCAGTTCTTTTCAATTGGATCTATATACTGAACTGGACGATAGAGAAAAATTGAAATAGAAATAGAAATAATCTTTATTAAAAATAAACTCATTACAAGCACTTTTGAATAGTCATATTTTGATTCTACCACTCATTCGGAAGAAGAATGAGCGAGAAACTTGTGTGTTGCTATTTTGAATAGATGTTTTTATTAAGTAATTTAAACTTACGCAATAAAAATAAGCTAATTTTACCTAAATGCCGTCTACACAAAGTTAGTAATTCATTTTATGGTAATTGCGTAAGATTCTATAATAAACTGCCAGAGTCTACGCTAAATCTTACAGAGAGGCAATTCAAATCTTATATTAAACAAATGTTATGTAAAAAAGCCTATTATAGGATAGATGAATTTATAGATGATAGCAATATATAGCAAGAATAAGTTTATTTGCGGACAACGTTATAATTTTAATTTTCATACTGCTTTCTTGATATATGATAGCGTAGCGGCTTTTGTATTGATTGCCGCATGCATCCTTATGTAAAGTGCGAATACTGTAACTACCATATAGTAATTTTTGTAGCTGTGACGTGGTCGTGTGGAATGAGTAGTCATGCTCACTAAAATGTCCAGACATGTGGCGGCGTGGTGGGCCGGGTCAATGGGCTCCCTAAAATGTGGTCGAGCGCAGTGATGGCTGGCTCATCCGTCATACTCGTGAACGAGTGCTGCTTGTAGGGACTGGTCTGCTCTTATCACTACGACTGATTTAATCTTATTGCATGATTATATTTGACCCAAAAAATTAGTGCTGGTTGGTAGTTTGTATTCACACGTTTCGGCTTGTAAATGTGATTATTTAAAAGAGCAACACACAAGTTTCTTGCTCGTTCTTCTTGTGATGAGACAGCTTTCCGAACCTACCACTCGTTCGGAAAGCTAATAAAAAACAAATTGTTATGACTATTCAAAAGTGCTTAAATTAAGTTTATTTGAATAAATGATTTTCTATTCTATTCTATTCTATTGTATAATTAATTACATAATAACAAGTAAAAGGCATGCGATAATAAACATAGAAATCGCTGCGCATGCATTATTAGTGTAATCAGATAATATTGTCAGTGCTATGGACTTTAAGTTTTTCTATAAAAACATTTTATCGTTAAAGAATTTTTCAATTTTATAGTAATCTTTTTTACAAAGTATAGGTACATTTCAATCTTTTTTCAGGCAGATTTATAACAGACGTTCATAAGCGGCTAAAATGTCCTACATGAATAAATGATTTTTGAATTTGTATGTTAGTCTTTAAGGTATTTATAATATGGGTCATTAGAAACCTAAATTAAATAAATAAATAATGTTTATTCCCATTCAGTTCCAGAGACTCAGGTTGGCTGCGGCACGTGTAGCCGCCGCGAGATGGAGTACTGCGAGACCCGCGTGCTGGCGGACCACTGCTGCTGCGAGCGGCAGGTTCTTCCTGAGCCGTTCCCCTGGCTACCACACACCTGCTACATCGGACCCCACCGCTGCCGCCCGCTGGCGCACGACTGCGCGCAGTACAAGCGGATCAGAGACTGCTGCTGCACCAGGAAGCTAGCTGAAAGATGTTAGTACACGTTTTTTATAATTGGAATGGTAAACCAGGTTATCACCTGATGAAAAGTGGGCGTACCAGTTTTTATATTTACTTTTATATACAATTTACACAGCGTCATCTAGACCCAAGTTAAGCTAGCTAAAGCTCGTGTTATGGGTACTAGACAACTGATACCAGTACGTAGATATTTTTTCTTTGTATGTAACATATTATACATAGAAAATACCCAGACCGATACAAACAATCATACTCATGAATAAAATTGTTTGTGCCGTGCGAGGAATTGAACCCGCGACCATCGGAAGTAAGACGGTGTGTTAAACCGCTGGACCACCGAGGCCGTCAATATATTTGGAGCTGCAGGAGTTGAGTACACGAACTTAGAAACTAAAATACCATCCTGATCATCTGAATGAGTGACGGTCCTCCACCGTTTTTCAATTAAAAAAGTCATTCTCATTTTTACCTTTCCAGGGAAGAGCATCTTATCAAAGTCGACTCGTCTCGGCGTGAGTGGTGTATCTCTGCTTCTGTTGTCGATGTTGCTGTTCGTAGCCTACCTGTGACACGCGCGCCCCCCACGGGCCCTTGCCGGCCCTATCTATGTGTAACACTTCAACCCCTCATCCGCGAGTCGACCAAAGAAACACATCTAACATGTAACCACCTGCATCTGTTTATAGATTATAGAGCGGACAGATGTATAAAATGATTAATTTATTACACTATAAACTACACTATTTCGCCACTGCAGAAAAAAATGCTAATACTTTGCAGATATGATATTAGCAATTAATATTGGTCATTATATCTCAGTAACTACATATATTTGTCGTAAAATCTACCACAGATTCTGCAGTCAAAAATGGAGAACATCTCCATCTTTAATTTTATCCAATCTGTTTAATACATTAACTTCCTAACTTTGAATACATTTACATTAACATATATAATAGATAAAAAATATGTCTTTTTTTTAAAATTAAAATCGTGAAATATACAGTAATATAATACTTTGCTTCAGATATCACTAAAAGCTTTTTTTGTGTAACTAAAGCTGTAAGTCTGATGTAAGTGTAATTTAGTTCTCAAATTACACTACGTGACTACTAAAAAATTTTTAGTTTCAACTCTATAAGATAGTGTTGAGACTTAAAATTTTTTAGGGTAAAAAAAAAGGTTTGATAAGTACCTCTGTATTCTTTGTATAAAATATATAGCAGTTAAAATACGGCCTAATTAATAATTTGATGTTACCAATTTAGAATATATATATACCTACCAAAAAAATATACCAAATTTTCGGAATAGAATAAAAATCACAGTGTTTAAAAAATCTATATTGAATTATTTATTCTTGAAATGAATAATACCTCTTTAATATTAATAGTAATAGGTTTGATGTTATATTCTTTAGTAGTATGTTCAGGTACCAATTTTAAAGATAAACAAGATGATTATGTGTGCTGTGTACCTAAAACAAGTAATTTATATTGAAAATTATAAATTTGAATTATTTTTACAATATATCCAACGAAATGTGGGTTTTTTAAAGATACATATTGGCTGCCTTTACAGGCTCTTTATGGGTTAATTTCTTGCTTTCCTTTTCATTACTCTTTCATGGGCCAATCAGTTTTCACGCGAAAATGAGAAAGACTGCACACGCATCCAGTTCGCGCGTGCATCAAAGTGCTTTAGCGCCTTTTTGTGACAATTATTTATAATTTCAAAATGGCCGACATCCAACTATGGAGCAGAGATATAATTATAGAATTATTGATAATTTATAAATCTTTGAAAAATATAATCTCTGGATTAAAAAAAGTAATTTTAAAAGGTAGTGAAATGACAGGAAGCATAAGATGGATGACGCACGATAGTGTGAACACAATAAATTGGAAAGTACAATCACTAGGCTTGCCTGTTTACGAATAAAAGCAATAATTAATAAATTTACACAAGAATTGGCCTTTGGCATCATCACTTATACAAATGTGAAGAAGTTTAAAAGTAGAATAGGCTGTATGGTCTAAGGATCTTTGCCTGTTTCATCATTGAAAGGACGAATATGGGAAAGAAATCACTACGCTTGCTTTCCCGCGCAAAATCGCGCGCATCTAGAACTTGTAACGGTAGCTAATGTCTTTGACTTCTCCATCTGGGATAAGTGTCTTGAAGATAGATTCAATGATTATTTCTCGTTTTTTTTTAAATGAATGGTGTTTGTCACCTTAAAAAAGATCGAAAGAAAATATTTTTAAAGGATAAGTTTTATGAACAGCTCCTCCTTTTGAGTAATGTGAATTATTTTTTAGTTTTGATTATTTTTTTTGTGATTCTTTTTAGTTTATAAGTTAGATAATGTAATGAGTGGCTTTATTTATTATTAATTAGTTTATGCTCGAATGTTATGTTTATTTATTGTTGTTGTACACCAAGGGTGTGTTAGTTTAGGACGCCTGTCATGAAATGAGAGTGTCAACGGATGTAGGTAGCAGTCGAGAGACTATAACATTATTTATAAAAGAATGAATTAACGATGATCGATGTTAAAAAAATCGATAGATAATAAATATCGAATGAGAAATGAAAAAAATATAATATATATATTTTTGTGAAAGCAATTGGTAAATTAATAATTTATTATTATTATAAAATATGTCAGAAAGGTTTCCATTGACCTATTAGTGTTTTTAAACTAATTGGTCCTGTATTTTTAGACCCGGTATTGACTTTTCAGTTCTATATTTACTTAAAATCGAAGTGTCCATGTCACGGAATACTTAACATCGATTTTTTTTCGTTTCCAAATCGATAAATATCGATAATTTCAGTAAGCAAATAAATAAATAAATGAATATATCGCTTGATTACAACTAAATTGTGTTATTGTAGAAAGCCATTTACTCAGGAAATTTTATGATGTAAATTAATTTGTTTTGAGGTTATGTCTGGTATATTCTATGCAATTTGTAGTCCACAATATGCATTTAATAAATTTATAGTCCAGTACATGTATTAATATAATTTGAATGTAAATATTATCATCTTTACATAGTATAAAACGAAGTCGCTGTCACTGTCTGTCCGTCACTATGTATGCTTAAATCTTTAAAAGTACGCAACGGATTTTTATAATAGATAGAGTTATTCTAGAGGTAAGTTTATTGTTTGGGAAACTACTCTGCTACCAAAATGTTAGGGAAAGTACTATGTATATATATAGGGAAAAACGTCTGTCGTGTACCTGTATGGTTCTGCGGATTTCTTGGGCTTCAGGGTCTCGAAGATATCTTCGCTAGCTTTCCAGTTTCACAGTAGGATTCACAGTAGGTTTCATTTATATATATAACACATGTACACCTGGGCGTAGCCGGGGCGAGTAGTTAACTATATTTAGTACGAATCAACGTCGCTATTTTTGTCTGTCTCTTTCTTCATTTACTTCTTTTAAATTACTTTTTTTTTATAATTCATACAGCGCCATCTAGTCTCAAGCTAATCATTGCTTATATTATGGATTGTATTAATTGATATAAAACCTTAAATATTTTTTTGTAAATACATACAGTGTATACTAAAAACAATAATAGATTGTTATATTCATGATGATTGATTTGATTCAAAACTAAAATACAACAAGCAAACAATTACAAATAAGTTGTCCTCCAACCTCTGTCACATGCCACACTGTGCCAGTAGGGTATTTTGCTATAAAATATATAAAATTAAATTCTAACTAGCAATAACACACTTCAGTTGTAAACAAACGGAATATGTTACGTCATATAATAATAATAATAATAATAATCTCAGGACAATTCACACAGCGCCATCTATACCCAAGTTAAGCTAGCTAAAGCTTGTGTTATGGGTCCTAGACAACTGATACAAATACATAGATAATTTTTTTTTCGTAAATACATACATATTATACATAGAAAATACCCAGACCGATACAAACAATCATACTCGTGAATACAAATGTTTGTGCCGTGCGAGGAATCGAACCCGCGACCATCGGTCGCAAAGCGGTGTGCTAGACCGCTAGACCACCGAGGTCGTCAATAAAACGTCATATACTATTATAATATTAAATTCATACGGTAGGTACTGATAAGAAGACGGATTGTCAAGTAAATAATTGAATAAGGCTTTTAAATGTAAATATAATATATATTATACAAATTGAAATAGAAATCAGAATCAGAGAAAGATTTTTTAGATGATGAAGTAATGGTAAATAAAGGTTTTTTATTTACCATTCCATTATCACTGGTTCATTTTAACGGATTTTAAAATTATTTTAAGGTAAATAAATGTAGTTACCTCTCTCGACGTTTTGAGTTGGACTAGATGTGGTCAAGATCTGACTACATGAGCCGGAGTTAACAATGAATGTTAATGTAATGTAATAGGTACCGCCGATTTCAATTACCGTCACTAGATTATCCGATGAAAGTAGAGACTTCGAGATAGGTAAATACCTTTATTTACCATAAAAACCTGTTTACCTATATTAATATATGTGTACCAAACGCGATAGTTTAAAACAGGTAATGGAATGGTGATTTGGTGGTATATACTAGCATTGTCTCAGTGAAGTTCTTAGGCCATAATTCTTTACAATTTACCCACGATGGTTTGCAACTCAACGTTAGATGCCTGGGTTCATTTACGGCATAAAATATGCACCATTCCGTGATAATCCATTAAAACTGTGGAGTTAAATAGTAGGTAATCGCTACTTTTTAAATGTTAGTATTCAAACAATATTAGAATATATATAATTGTATAAAACTGTACAAAGTATATAATATATATTTTTAGGCACAAGTTTTTAGGTAGATATAGTGTTGCTTCGAATTAGGGTTCATTCCCGGGAATTCTCGGTTCGAGAATTCCCGGGAAATTCATGGGTTTTGTTCCCGGGAAATCAAGCTCGAGAAAAGTCGAGAACTCGAGAAATCATGTACCTATATAGAAATTAATTGCCCTTTGTTTTGTTGCGTGGCGGCGCAATAATTTAAGATATTATCATTTTTGTTTTCTTTCATGTTAAATTTTTATGTTGTAGAAACTATTTCGGCCTTATTACAAAAAGATAAACCTGGTTTAGCACTAGTAATAAACTATTCACCAATGTATTCCTTATTACAAAATGAAGTTTATCTCTAAATCGTGATTCGTCTATGGTCTAAAGTTAGACCTGCGATGCCCCTAGTTTAACAGTGGTCTAAATGCAAAAATACAAACTCCATTTTAAAAATTCTATTGTAAGTTGTAGTTTTTGGAAAAATAGTTTAACTAAATTAAAAATATATTAACTAAAAATATTTAAAGCAAATTTTACGACAATAAAAATATATAAAAGACGTTATTTGTTATTTTTTCACTCATTTGACTTTGAAATAGTCACCATTCGAACGATCCAATAAAAATATCTCGCCGTTCCTTTTCTCCGTATAGGACTCCTACTTGTAATTTAAAACTGACTTTCAGCCTAATAGTACATTAATAAATATTATATATTAATGAAATAGTTATAATGAAGACATAGCTAAATAGAAATAAATTTATTTTTAGTTTAAACATTTTTCTTTGAACTAATATTATTTTTGATCTTTTCAGTTTTCTGGTAAAATGGAACGTAATTGTACGGTGACAGACATGAGTAACTGATTTCT